CCGAGGCCTTCCCCTGAGAAGAGCACCAGAAGAGCCCTGCTGGGTCAGACCAGGGAGGGTCCCTCTAGTCCAGCCACCCGTCTCACACAGGGGCCAGCCAGTCCCTCTGGAGGGCCAAGAACAGGGCAGGGAGGCCGAGGCCTTCCCCTGAGAAGGACGCCAGAAGAGCCCTGCTGGGTCAGACCACTGAGGGTCCCTCTAGTCCAGCCTCCCGTCTCACACAGGGGCCAGCCAGTTCCTCTGGAGGGCCAGCAACAGGGCAGAGAGGCCGAGGCCTTCCCCTGATAAGGACGCCAGAAGAGCCCTGCTGGGTCAGACCACTGAGGGTCCCTCTAGTCCAGCCTCCCGTCTCACACAGGGGCCAGCCAGTTCCTCTGGAGGGCCAGCAACAGGGCAGAGAGGCCGAGGCCTTCCCCTGATAAGGACGCCAGAAGAGCCCTGCTGGGTCAGACCACTGAGGGTCCCTCTAGTCCAGCCTCCCGTCTCACACAGGGGCCAGCCAGTCCCTCTGGAGGGCCAACAGCCGGGCCCAGAGGCCACGGCCTTCCCCTCATGTTGCCTTCCAGCCCTGGGATTCAGAGGGCGACTGCATCTGGTCACCAGGGCCAGCAGCTCTGCAGGGTTCACCCTCGCCAAGCCCTGCTCCTGGGCACGGGGGCCGGGGTGTGTGTGGGGGAGCGGCCTTCCTGGGCTGGGGGAGCGTCTCCCAGGGTAGAAGCGGGCAGTGCTGGGAAGCGGGTTGTCTTGCCGCCTGCCACGTCCTTGGGGGCCGATCGCATTTGCCAAGCCTGGCCTCCTCCCCTCCCCTCCCCTCCCAGGGGAAAGGGCAGCGAGGTCCCTGCTGAAGCAGCCGTTCCAGGGGGTCGGAGGGGGGGGCATGGTTGCCTTTGGGACTGAAACACACGGGAGCGAGTCTTGGTGTGTTTTGCAGGCTGAGCCCGGAGATCTACCTGAAGCGCCCAGCCCAGACGGACGACTGGCGCCTGGATCTCCTCCTGAAGCGCAAAGCGGTGAGTGGGGCGGCTCCCTCCGGGAGGGAGGGTGGCTCCCTGGGGGGGGTCCCGTCCCGCCCCGCCCTGTCCCACGCTGACCGTGCCCTTTGCAGGAGGAAGGGGTGCGTATCTGCGTCCTGCTGTTCAAGGAGGTGGAGCTGGCCCTGGGCATCAACAGCGGCTACAGCAAGAGGGCCCTGCTGCTCCTGCACCCCAACGTCAAGGTGAGCCCCCCCCCCCCCCGCCCCCCCCCCACCACCAAGGCCAGCCCCCCCCCCCCCCCGGCTTGCACCCTTGGCCTCTTTCTGCCCTTCCGTCCTCTGAAGGCCTGGAGCTACCGTATCCCGCCTCCCAGGCGTGCTGCCTCCTGGCCGTCATCATCATGTTGGGGGGGGGGCGTCCTTGAACTGGAGCCTGCGCCTGGGACGCTTCTCGTGCCCCACGGGGGCCTCTTCAGCTCCCCACCCACCCGATCGCACCTTCCCAGAAGCAGTGGATTTTAGTTACGGCCTGGCTTCTGAACAATCGGCAAGGCAGTGTTAACAAGCATCTCTGCTGGATTGCAGGTGGCTGCTGTGGTGGCACCCGAAAGCTTCTCCTCTGCCACAAGTTTTGTTAGTCTGTAAGGTGCTCTCAGGGGCTGCAGTGGCTGTTAAGAGGCTGAGCGGCAGACTGGAAGGTCTGTAGCTCGGCAGTTCGAGACCCTAGCGTGCCGCATGACGGAGTGGGCTCCCGTCTCTGGCCTCAGCTCCTGCCAGCCTAGCAGTTCGAAAGCAAGAAATTGCAAGTAGATAAATAGGTACCGCTTCAGTGGGAAGCTAATAGCGTTCTATGCGCTTTGGCATCTAGTCATGCCGGTCACATGACCACAGAGACGTCTTCGGACAGCACTGGCTCTTCGGCTTGGATACGGAGATGAGCACCGCCCCCCTAGAGTCGGATTCGACTGGCTTTCGAGCAAGGGAGACCTTTACCCTTTACCTTTAAGGTGCTCCTGGACGCTTGCTCTTTTCTACTGATTTCACACACAGCTTTGCTGAACTGACCGGGTGTGTGATGGTTTCATTTGGGACTCCTCTTTTTCGCCCAAGAATCTCCACCTTTTGAAACGGGGGTCAGCTCGTCTCTTGGGATATTTCCCTCGCTCCCCCCACTTTCCTCTCCTGGCCACACCCTGAGGTTCCACCTCTGAGTACCTGCCTCTTCCCCCTGGAGGCAGGGATTGGCTGGGAAGCCTGGAGGGCGGAACTAGAGGCCCTCTGCCACAGCCTCCCACACACTTTCCCTCTCCTGTTTGCAAGGGGTGGGGTGTGTGATGATGTCATGGTGGGTTTCCTCTGAGGAGAAAAGCGGAGTGTAAATTAAAACCAAGATGCTCTAAATACAGGCTCCAAGGCCCAGTGCAGGATCCATCCAGCGCTGGGCATGGCCGTTCCTGGCCTCATTTTCCGTGGGCCCTTGGGCAACCCTTGCCTGCATTCAACAACCAGGGGACTGGCCCTCGGAAGCCCCTGCCACGCTAAACCACCATGGTGCACTTTCGTGGACGTGGCCCCCTATGGCTGACAAACTGCACAGACTGTCTCTAAGCTGAAGTCGAGCTGCCTGCCTTGAGGCCGGGTATCGCTGCGCCCTCCTGGCTCCCGGGGGCCCTCCGCTGCAACGCCCCTCTTGCCTGCTGACCGGGACAGAAGGGCTGGCAGATCCTCGTTCTCCAGCTTTCTCGTGAGAGTTTCGGCCCCGGAAACGGTTGCTGGCCTCCGAGAGGCTCCTGGACTTGGCTTTTGTTCTAAAGAGGACCGCAGCTCCCCTCCCGATCCTACCTTCCAGTCTCCCCGGAGGGAGGGGGCACGTGTGTGGGGGGGGCTGTCCGGCAGTCCGGGGCCTCCTGTGTGTGTAACCCCGAGGCCGGGCGACCCTTCGTAGTGCCTGAAGGTCTCTTCTGTCTCCCCCCCTCCCCCAGGTCATGCGCCACCCTGACCACGTCTCCTCCACCGTCGTCCTGTGGGCCCACCACGAGAAGCTGGTGGTGGTGGACCAGTCGGTGGCCTTCCTGGGAGGGCTGGATCTGGCCTACGGGCGCTGGGACACCTACGACTACCAGATCGCTGACCTGGACGGTGACGACGGCCCCAGCCCCAAGGTGACGGGAGGCCCCTCTCCCCGCCCCCCACGGTTACTTCGCGGGCCGCTGAATCCTTCCACTCGCCCGCCTGCCTGCCTCTTGTGCAGCTTCTCTCTCTGTCCTTGAAGCAGCCGGACAGACGTCTTCTTCTACTTCTTCGGACGCTGCTCCCGTCTCCAGCAGCCCGGCCCGCTGCCTCGGCCTCCTTGCGGCTTGCTCTCTTCTCTTGCCTCTCTCTGACCTGCCCTCTCTCTTTCCTCCTCCTCCTCCTCCTCCTCCCTTTCTCTGCTCCGTCTCTGTCTCCTCCTCCTCCTCCTCCGTGCAGGCCAGCCCGCAACCTCCTCCTGACCCTGTGTCTCTCCCAGGGCGGGGCTGCCCCACCCGGCGGGCAGGAGGCCCCCTTTGACTTGGGCACCAACCAGCGCCTCTGGCTGGGCAAAGACTACAGCAACCTCATCGCCAAGGACTGGGTGCAGCTGGACAAGCCCTTCGAAGGTGAGCCCGGCAGGACGCGGGGGAGGGAGGGGCACTGGTGTGGGTGTGGGGGGGACACACGAGCCAGACCCTGGCCTCCTCCCTGCCTGCCTGCCTTCACTGGGGCGGGCAGGGTCAGGCCACGAATCCAGGGTCCCCGGCGAGTTCCGCCCCCTGCCCCCACAGCCAGCCTTGCCTTCAAAAGGGGGGGAGAGAAAAGGAGCGCCTGGCCCCACAACCGGCCCTCACTTGCCCGCTGGGGGGGGCAGATTTCATTGACAGGCACCAGACCCCACGGATGCCCTGGCGGGATGTAGGGGTGGCCATTCACGGGGCGGCTGCACGGGACGTTGCACGCCACTTCATCCAGCGCTGGAACTTCACCAAGGTGAGTGGCAGGAAGGGGGGGGTGGCAACAGAAATCTCCTTGGCAGACTGATTCTGCTTGGGGGGGGGGTTGCCC